TGAGTTACAACCCACATGTCAGAAGACGTTTTAGATTCATGACACATAAGAGGACAGGTATTAGAGGCAGTTGAAAAGGTTTTTCCACTTGTGTGCATATTAGAGGAAATTAATCTTATTTTGAGCTTTAAAGCTGAGATCCTCTAGAGGCTACTATTCATCAGAGGCTGGCTCAGAGCTTCTAATTATAGTGGCTTCTGATCATCATCAGAATCTGATTCTCCACTCAAATACAAGCACAAAATTTTAAAATATTTTTAAAGTGCTTGACTCTGAGAAATAATAAGATTCTTTGCAACTCAGATAGAAGTAGTATCATCACAGTTAAGTATATTTCTACTTTAATAAATGTGAAATTCTACTGACTGATATTAAAATATTAGGATTAGAAGTTTTTGAATAAAAATAAGGAAATTGCCATGCCTTTCTTTGTGCAGCTTCTAATATCCTGATTAAATTCTTCTTGAGAAACCACTTTGTTCCAACAATGACCGTATGATAAACATCATAAGTATTTTTAGGGGCCCTTTCAAATGGATGAGCTTCAGAGGTTAGTTAAGCATCGGAAGCACCAACATTCAATTAATCAGATTTAGTCTTCCCAATACCAGTAACCTTTCTTTATTGGTTTCTTCCAGACTCCGCATTTTCTTTCTCCTTCAGAATTAGGATTTGGAACATATGCTTTTCGTTTTTTATAAGTAGCCATTGTCCTAGAACTAAAAATTTTGCTTTGCTCTTCCCTTTCAGCATATCTGCAGCAAAGATAATCTCAGTTTTTGGTACCCATACTCTTATGGGTCCTTTGAGGCTAGTTTAATAAGCTTATCTTATTTTTAACCTTAGCATTGTAATAAGGTATTGGATCATTCAAAACTTTAGATTTAAAAGTTTATTGTCTTGAATGAATCCTAGCCTTACGTTATGGACCTTTCAGAAGCTTGTAATTAGATGTCTTTGATTCTAGCTTCTTCAAAACTTTTGACTTTGAAGTCTCAAGTTCTGATTCTTTTAGAACCTTTGACTTAAGAATCATTGGTTCTAATTTATTCAAAACTTTTGACCTTGAGGTCTCAGGTTCTGATTTCTTCAGAACCTCTGACTCTACAGTTATAGGTTTTGATTTGTTTAAAACCTTAGCATTATTAACAGGTACAAAATGAGATTACAACCCTTTTTAGTAGCGCTTGAAGAAGAAGGGTATGATGGTTTAATCAAGGTTTCAATCCTTGGATTAAAATGTTTATTTTTATGACAACTAAGACCTTTTCCTTTGCTTCTACTTACACCATAGTTCATGGATGCAAGTTTGGTTCTGTTAAAGTGAGTTATGACAAACTCTTGAAGAGCCAATTCATACCTATTAAGGGGTTTTTCAGACATATCCTTTACTAAAGCAATCTAATCTCTTTCTAGTTTTTCAATCTTATTTTTAGAGAAATTTAATTCATCTTTCAAAAGACCATATTGCTTTTGTATAATTTTCATATGTCTGGATTTCTCCAGACATCTATCCATAAGATCTTGACATAAATTAATTAAATCAAATCTTGATAGTTTAGAGAATACCTCATATGCATCCTCTGAATCTGAGACAGAATCAACTTCTGATTCTATGTCTGAGAATGTTAAAGCAATCAAAGATATATTGGCTTCTTCTTCATTCTTATCAGTTTCTTCTTAATCATCAAGTTCATCCCAAGTTTCCATGAGACTTTTCTTGAACTTACTTCTTAAGTTGTTCTTCTGGAAGCTTCCCTTTTTGGCTTTTTTCTTCTGAAGCTCTGGACAATCAACTATAAAATGAACAGGCTTTTGAGAGTTGAAGCATCCTTTCTGATCATCTTTGTTAACTTTAGATCTTTTTCCTCTAAAGCCAGATTTCCTTCTAGAGAACTTTCTATTCTTGTTAGCAAGTTACTAAAACCTCTTTATGATGAAAGCCATTTCATCATCATCTGGATATTATTAAGAGGCTTCAGCATGAGCGGCTTCTTTATGCTCCCATGTTTGAGAAGATTTCTTAAGAAACCCAATAGATTTAAAAGCTAGAGACTTTGATTTCTTGATCAATTCTTCATCTCCATAGAGTTCTAACTCATGGCTTTGGAGATTACTGGTCAAACTTTAAAGACTGGCATTGTTTAGGTCTTTAGCTTCCTGAATAGTTGTCACCTTTAGTATGTATCTGATAAGAAGAATCATAATAATCTTCTTGACATAATCATATATGGTGTAGCTCTTGTTCAAGACTAGAAGTCCAAAAACAAGAACTTGAAACCTTGAGAACATGGTTTCGGTGTTTTCATCCTCTTTCACTCAAAGTAGTTTATATTGCTGAGCTATAATATTAGCTTTGACTTGTTTAAATTATTGGTTTCCTTCATAAGTAGCACATAAATATTGAAAAATGGTTTTTGTAGTAGACTTGTCGATGATCTTTATGTACTCAGAATGAGGTAAAACTTCTACAAGAATTCCTCTTTAGAGGAGGTGTGAGAGTTTTTCTATCAGCTACCATTCCTACTCCATTCATATGAATATCAATGCCATATTCAAGAATGTCCCATAACTCATCATCAAGAATTATAATATGTGTGTACATCTTACTTTTCCACCATTCAAATTCAGTAGAGTCTCATTTGAATGTTGAAGGTCAAGCAACGTAATTATTCTTTTCAGATTTTCTATAATCATGATTAACATCACCAAGAGGAGTGGGTTGTGGACTAGGATCACCATCACCAGAGTGATTTGATTCAGCTTTAGAATCATCCATGATAAAGACATAAGTGTTTTAATCAAGATCTTTTCAGCATCACTATTAAGTGTTTAGCACATACCTTACTCTGATGCCAACGGAAGGTGAGAAAAACACAAGAAGAAAAGGTTGAACTGTGTTGGCTTTTTCTCTTCTAAGCTTTTTCTTTTTTGCTTTGATGGATCTCAATCAAATTTTTAACACTTGGTTCAGAGTCTGGCTAAGAAAACTTGGTTAACTTATAAAAGTCCTTATCATATTCTGAACAAGAATCTAACTTAGAGTATCAAAGTTGATAGCAACGAAATATAGTTTAGAAGCAAGTGAAGCAAAGCAGAGACACAAGCAGTTATCCACTTATCCTGGTTCCTCTCACAACTTGAGAGTAGTTCAATCCCTTTGCACTTCTAGAGGATTTCCTCTATAACCAAACTGATGACAAGCACCAAGCAAGATACTTCTAATGCTCAAACCCACAAGTAAGAGACTTCAATGCTCAATCATAAAAGCAAGAGACTTCCAATGCTCAAACCTTCAAGTAAGAGACTTTTATGCTCAAGCACACATGAAAGAGACTTCAAATGCTCAAGCACTAAAGCAAAAGACTTAGGACTCTATAGCAAACATTTAAGAGATTTAGGTAACAACTACACTTGATATACAATCAGAGATGTGGACAACATACAACTTAGAAAGACTCTAAGACTTAAGAACTTCTAAAATATACATAATGTTAAAATGTTCTAAGTCTAGCATATTTGAAAGAATGACTTCTCTTTGAAATGTCAAGGTTCAGAGTCTTGTATAGCAGTGTATTGTGTTGTATTTTTGTGTGGTAGTCATCTTCTGTAGGACTTCTGCTCCTTATATAGAAAGGATTAAAAAAGATATTTAAGGCTTTCACAAAAATATTGGGCTAGCTTTGTACTTGATTGTCACATCAAGAAAACACCTTTCTGCAAGAGGAATTATTCGTTGAAGTTCATATAACAAAGAAGAGATTTCTCCTTAAGTCTTCACGTAATCAAAAGATCTCTGAGTCTATAAGAGTTATCTCGATTGAAGAGAAGATGCTTATGAGGTTGACTTTCTTCAGAGTTTACTTCTTGACTTCTAAAGCTTCAGAGTCTGGATCACTAAAGACTGACTTTCTTCAGAGTGCGGGTCTTCCATCAGAGCCAGAGTTTTCAGAAGTGATCTTCAGAGCTAGATGAACTTCATATGCAGAATCCTCAAGCTACTCTTCATATGTTCTCAGTCTTATAATCTTGCATACTTGAACAAATGTTATAATACCCAATTGTTCTTTAAATAATTTGTTATCATCAAAACCTAAGGGATATGTTATCAACCATTTTGTTCCAACAGATATTGTATCTCCCTCTTCTACAGAAGTTGAGTATCATGTTACAGCATCCACCACTACAAAAATAGTTTAGTTTCGTTGGTTACTTATAGATATGGATGTCACTCTTTCTAAACAAACTCTCATGTATTGTGATAATAAAAGGGTCATTCAAATTGTTCACAACTGAATATTTCATTCATGTACCAAGCACACTGAAATTGATTGTCACTCCATTCATCACCACCTTCAATATAGAACAATTACTCTATCATTCGTCTCTTCCTCCTTACAAATTGTTGACTTATTTACAAAGACACATTACATTAGACGTTTTTATTTCTTGATTGATAAACTATCGATACTTCATATTAATCCATCATATATTTAAAAGAAAATATTAGATATTATTATTATTATTATTATTATTATTATTATTATTATTATTATTATTATATATTTATTATATATTAGAACAGTAATTTAGTCTTTTTCTATTATCAAATATTTATATTATAATATTATTGTATACATTTCTATCCTTCTAATAAAAACCCTAAAATCTCTTCTATTTTTATAATAAATTTAAACCTCAAGTTTAATATCCTTTATTAAAAATAATAGATTTCATAAATATATAGCTAAAACTTCAATTCCATGTTGATGTCTATAGAAAAATATTTGTTGATAGAGATGCATAAATAGATCTCAATAATAGACACAGTACCTAAATTCAACCAAAAAAATATTAAAGTGGGACATGTACCCTTGTCTTTCTTATGACCCTTACCTTATATATAAAATTAGTGTGAAAAAAACAAGAGCTAGAGAACAAAAACCAAGTGATCTACCAACCAAACAACACTCATCTTTTCTCTCTTCCAAGTTCCAACAATGGACTCTTCACCAAATCTCACTCATCATCATGCCAAAGATCCTCCAAAACAATGTCAATCCTTCTTCTTCGCCGGAAAGTATCCGTCTTCGCGCCGAACCGCTTCATTCTCCTCTTGTTCATCCTCCCTCTCACCTTCCTCTTCTTCCATTGAATCATTCTATTTTCCTGATGATCCTCATTTCAGTCCTGCCTCCCCACTTAAATTCTCAGGTGTTCCATTTTCTTGGGAACATTTACCTGGAATTCCCAAGAAACATAACAACTCCAAGAAAAAACAACAATCTTCCATGAAACTCTTGCCATTACCTCCTCCTACTATAACTACTACCTCCACAAACTCTTCTAAAAAAGTGATCAACCATGAAGATACAAAGATTTGGAAGAAGAATTCGATTCCAAGTAGCTTTCAAAGGGACGATCCTTTCTTTGCTGCAATGGTTAAATGCTCAAAGGATGGTGGTGATGATCATCAAGAAACAATTGGAAATTTGTGGAATAATGGAGCTAAGGTTACAAGAAGTATAAGTGATCGTTTTGGATTTATTAGTCTTTATGGCTCTTGCAAGAGAACTTGTGCAGTTTCTGAATCTTTAGTTCTACTTCCAAGCTCAAGAAGAAACACTTATCATCAAGTTAATGGCAGGTCCCTCTGAGATTTTTTCCAATCAGTGATCCCAAAATCTACTTGTGTAGTTCATCTTGTTACTAGGAGGAAAAAAACATTAAGAGGTAATTTAATTTTTAACTTTTACTTAAACGTTAATCTATTCAAAATATTCAGATGAAATGAGAAGCGTTTCTTTCATCTTAATCAGAGATTCTGAATTCGAACGCAGTTATAAATATGCAACAATATTAAATCTCTTGAAAAAGGTTTTACTGTCTATTACAGCTTTTGTAACTCAAGAGATTAATATCTGCGAAATATGGTATGGGAAGACAAATTATGTCTTTGAAAACCTAAGTTATATATTATTGTTGTAATATATAAATATAAGTATAGGAAGTGTTTGTCTTATTTTCTAGTTTGTTATGATTTTATTTTTTGGAATCTTGTGTCATTAGACATGTAAATCTCTGAATACAATATATGCTTTTTGATGTATGTCATGAGAGGTATCATATTATGAGTGAAATTTAGATCATCCCATGTGGGAATAATGTATAGGACCATGGTGGAAAAAGACTGTCAAATTATTGATTTGACTTTTTTATTGTATATGTATTTGTATTTTTTAATAAGTTAGATTCCCTAATATTTTAAGCAATGGCTTTGTTTTTGTTTATGATGATGTTTGATAAAATTGTTGAGCTATCTCATCTTTTTGTCTCAAACTTCCTATCAACTTACCAAACAAAAACATAAATATTAATAAGGTTTCAATCTCATTCTCGAAAAATAATTCAAAAAGTAAAATTATCTTCGTATATTTATATTTTCAACCGTTCATAAATCTGAGTCTCCCAACTTAACATGATTTTAGGTCAAATATTCACGCATATTTAAATATTTAACGACTAGATTCAAAGAAATTCCAAAAACACATATACATATTGTACGTTAATAAATATATTTTACATTGTCATTGTTATTACCCTCTCTTAAGTGAAAGAAAAAAAAACACATAAACGTGTGCATCCAACTCAACTATCATCATAATTGATTTAGACAATCTTAGAACTCACGTTATGTAAATGGGCCCTTGTTGTTTTCCCCCACATGATCTCCATACATTGAATGCATTTCTAATAAGAGATCTACTAACAACTATTAAATCCATTTTGAGGGAAAGTGTTTCTTATTTTGTTGTTTAATGCCTCTATGCTCGTGTAAAAAGTTTCTTTTTATATTTTTCACTTTGGCTGTGAAGCATGTAATGAAAGTTACATAATCATATAGTATCTTTTTTTTGTCAAATTTTGGGTAGTGGAAGTGTTCAAAGCATAAACAATATGATTAGCAAGAGGCCTAGCTGCCTCTCGTGATAATAATGCATTATTTTATTTAGAGGTATCATGACCTATGCTCTAAAGGGCATTCATAAAAACACTAATGATTCAAGTCAATGAAATTATAATGTTCAATATCATATAAAAAATTACAATGTTAGGTTGATATTTTGTATTGAAACACCAAGCTATTATGTCACTACTCATTAGTGTACTAATTTAAATAAAAAGTGTCCTTAAAAAGTAAAAATTTGATTTTGGTGTTTAATACTTTTAACAATAAAAATAAAAGTTTAATTGGTATGCAATAAAGTGTAAAATTATTTTAACCTGTTAAATAATTATTCTTATGATCAATATTAGAGGATCAACCTAAGTGGTTGAACACAACCTTTTTAATAGAACTATTCATAAAAATTAAAAAAAAAATTATAAATACAATGTTAACTATTAAGATAATAAAATAGCTTAAAAAATAGAGTTTCATTAATAAAAAGTTTATTATCTCACAGGAAGAACTTGGTAAGCAAAAAGTGACTGAAGTCCTCCAAACAGGTGCTATTCAATTTCATTAGAGTACAGAAATGTGAATCTTAATTGCACGTACAGAAAAAACACAATGATGTTCAAGAAAATAATACTAGTATACAAAATTGAACATAGTGGAGAGAGATGTGTCAACAATATTTCAAATCAATTCGGACGCATTAAATTTTTCATATCAATTCATTTAATGGCCACATGTATAAGAGTTGAATTTTGTGTTGGCGAAAAATCAGCGGCCAATAATTTGATCTTAGATAAAACATATAAGATTAAACAAGAAATAAATAGTGCACAACTATTTATAGCAATGGAAAGTGACTTCCATTTATGAATATGACAAAATGAACATTAATTCTCTCACCTCTTTTTATAATTATAACATCTTTTTGTTTGTGCAAATTCATTCTGTACTTCTCTCTTGAATTTCCACTTATATATATGCATTTAGTTGAAATTTTGAATTGGTTTTTCTTACATTCTGAAAAATGAAATCAAGATAATATGAAGCATGTTATATATTTACAATTTTGAGTACAGATACATCGTGTTTAGAATCTATTGTATAATTGAGTTTGAATTTTGAACATGTTAAATTTTTTGAGTAAAAATTTTGTCATCTATTTTTTTTTTATTTGAAGAATTAGTTTTGTAATTGCTCATTGAGTATATCTAGTTTATAAAAAAAATGTGGTATAATACATATCATCGAAAAGAAAGAGAATTTTGAAAATAAAAAATATGGAGAAAAAAAGAACTTAAAAATGAGAAAAATAAATAAGGATTTTTTAATTTAATCAAAATTTTATTAAAGATTAATATTTGTTTTGCCTTTTGGCATGTGTACTTGCTAAAAAAGTATAAAGAGATCAACCTTACATTTGAAGGGTTGTCTGTGGAGTTTAGGATTGTTGATGGTATTTACAGGTAACTCACGTAGATTTATATGAAACTTTATATATGTGTTTTATGGGTTAAATTATCTGGTCCCCTTCTCAACCATAAGGTTGAGATATCTATTGAGATCACTTGGACTTTGGTCTTTAGACCTAGGAAGCGGTTACCTTCTCTCTCTTTTCCCTAAAAAGTGTGGGATATATGAGAACCTTTTTTTCTCCTATAAACATAGGAAAGTGGTTTTCCTCATTCACTGACTTTTATCTCCTACTAGTGCACAAGGACACAATAATCCCCAACTTTTCATAAGGAATGTGATAGACAAATTGTCTCAAGCCCAATATGGGCAAGTTATTGCGATTAGTGGCAAACATGGGCACAACTTCGGGCACATTGTGTCCTTACCATTGTGCTCTCCTAGTGCCAGTATGTTTGACTTGTTTTGCTTCCCTATAAATTACCTTCTGAAAGGCATAACACAATTATCCCATTATACAGTCCCTTAAGCACGAGATCTTGGTAAAGATGAAGTGATTTAATATCAGACAAAAGGTAATTTACTCGTGGGAGAAACTTATATAGTCGAGTCTCTCAAGCGAGACTCCTTAAAGGATAGCTTGTTCAACTCTTGGGCCCTTGTTCACAATTGAGTCCTTCAAGTGTTGCCTTTGAGGGCAAGTCCCCCATGTTTTGCAACATTTGATGTTTTAGGCATGCACACCTTTTGTTTGTGTTGCGGTGAGAATAGGATATCAAATTATTGATTAATTTGAATCACATCTTTAGTTCACAACCGGTGTTTGATTTATCCGAAGGAAAGGTTAAAGAAAGGAAAAACCTATTTTGCATCGTAAACACAATGCGGGGAAAGATCTAGGTTCGGGGGTTGGTTAAGCTTAGGGAAGGTATTAGCATCCTAAACTTCTGTAGTACTCTACAGAAACCTCTTGTTTTAATGTGCTATTGCTAAAGTTATTTGCTTAAAGGTATGCTAAGGGTTAAAGGTAAAGAGAAAGGCCTACGGGGTTAGTCATAAGTTTACTCGCCAAGACTCGTATCTTGTGCCTACGTATCTGAGGTAGGGGATGGAATCAGAGTAATCGTAGTTCCCCTCTAAAGAGAGGTAAGAGAAACTTCTTGATTGTGGTCAAGGTTTCAAGGGGATGTAAACGTTCATAGGGAAGCGCTTACGTGGAGTGCGGCGACTCCTATCTCTACGTTGTAAAGTTACGTTGAAAAGGGTAAGTTAGGTATTCCACGGCGGGAAACCTAATATGGAGTGCGGCGACTCCTTATCCTAATGCTAGGGTAAAGGGTAAAATTGTCCACAGCGGGACGCCTAAAAGTATGAGTACGGTGACTCAAAGTCTTGAGGTTTGAAAAGGGTGAAAGATGGACGAGGGTTAAGGACTATTGACACGGCGGTCAAACGGTTAGACCTTTTCTTCGGAGGAAAATTAACAGTAAATGATAAACGGTGAAAAATTAAAAAGCGGTGAAGATGGTGACATAATATACAAGCGATAGGAGTGAGATGTGAATAGCAATAATAATGTCAGAGAATGTACAAATAAAATTAAAAAAAATTAGCAAACAGGTTCATGGATAATCGAGAAAAAGATTAAGAAACAGGTTAGAGTTTCAGACAAAAAGAGGTTCATGGATAATGTCAGAGATCTTTTTAAGAAACAAATTGAAATTTAATTAAAAAAAAGTTAGGAATTTGGATTAGGAAAAAAAATTAAAAGTTTCAGACAAAAAGAAGGTTAGAGTTTTAATTTTAGAGAAGGAAATTGATGTTTATTTGAAAAAAAGGTTAATTTTTAATAATAAGAAAAGGTGTTAGTTTTTAATAATAATAAAATGTTATATTAAATTTTAAAAAAGTTAATAATTAATTTTAACAAAAGTTAGATTTCAATTTTAGACAAAGGTATTAGAAGTTTTTAATTAAGAAAAGAAGGTGAGAGTTTTTTTTTTTTTAAAGGGTTAGAAACTTTGATTAAAAAAATAGGATTTTTGAAATAGAAAAAATGTAGGAAAGTTTTGAATTAAAAATGTTAGAGTTTTAAAAAGTGAATTAGAATTTTAATTAGTATTTAAAAAAAAAGAAATTAATGTTAATTTAAAGAAAAGGTTAGATTTTGATTTTTTTTTTTAAAAAAGAAAAGGCTAAATATACAAAAACAGTCATTAAAAAAAGTTAATTAGAATAAATGAATAAAAACATTAAAGGTTAATTATTATTTAAAAAATGGTTAAT